CATCGGGTCCCTTTAGCTAAGCCAGAAATGCCAGTAGTGTTAAGGGTTTAGGGTTTAGGGTTTAGGGCTCTGGGTTTGGGGTTTAGGGGTTAAGGTTTAGGGTTTAGGGTTTAGGGCTCTGGGTTTGGGGTTTAGGGTTTAGGGTTTGGGGTTTGGAGTTGATTGTAGGCTGTTGGATGGGGAAAGTACGACAAGCAATAGTCGAGCCGATCGGGCTCCCACAGTAACCCTATGAAAGCTTGCCGTTCATCCCAAAAGCCGTCAACCACTGGGGGGGTCCATGTACCAATATAATAAATACTTGGGCAGATTGTTGCAATTCTTGCAACCCTAAGCCCCAAACTCCCTAAACCCTAAACTCCCTAAACCCTAAACTCCTAAGCCCCACAAGCCTTGAAGTCCGAACTGCCCACAGCACTGTACTGGCCTTTTCAGGAATCTTCACGCCCAAGCTGCAAAAGCGCTTGAAGAGCGCGTCAGATAAGACCGCTGCTGCCCTCTTCAAGAGGTCTCTCGGTTTAGGGTTTAGGGTCCAGGGTGTAGGGTCTAAGGGTTTTTTGGGGGTTCTGGTTTGAGGGCTTATGGGCTTTTCTGAGGTGGAGGGTTGGGGTTTCGGTTTCTGGTTTTAGGGCTTGTGGGTTTATTTGAGGTGGGGGGTTGGGTTTCAGGGCCTGGGGTTTCAGGACTTATATAGGATTGACGGGTTTTGGGCTAAAAAGTGCATTGTAGGCACGCAGGGCCCCTAATTGAGCCCGAAGCTGTAGCCCTAAACCCTAAGCCCTTACATCTCCCTAAGCCCTTCAAGCTTTAGCTCAATGGTATTGGGGTGGCTTGGAATTTAGACCTTCCGTTTGCCTCTTTCTTGACCCTACCAGATCCTAGATCCTAAACTCTCAACTTGAATCCCGAGACCTTACAGCCTAGATCCTATAATCCCTAAACCCTAAAACTCCTTAAGCTCTACCTTAAGGCCCCATAAGCACTCACTTTAAAATCCCTCAACCCTGGACCTCAAAAGCCTGAATCCTCTAAAGCCTAAACCCTAAACCCTAAACCTTAAACCCTAAACCCTAACTCTAAGCCCGAAGCCATCCCGTCGCCAGGTCGCTCCTCGAGGCGTCGAGGACCGAGGTGATCACCGAGAAGTTGCGGGACTCCAAAAGCAGCTTGGGTTTAGTGGGATTCAGAGGATTTAGGGCTGAGGGAGACTCCGAAAGCAGCTTGGGCTTAATGGAGTTCAGAGGATTTAGGGTTGAGGGAGACTCCGAAAGCAGCTTGGGCTTAATGGGATTCAGAGGATTTAGGGGTTGAGGGTGTGGGGTTTGGGGTTTGGTTTAGGGTTGAGGGGTCTAGTTGGGTTGAAGCAGTGTTTAGATTCTAGGGGGTCCCAGAGCAGCTTGCCTTCGAAGGGGTTTCGTGGGTTTGAAGAGGGTTTGCGGTTAAATGGTGTAAACTTGGTGTCGTAACCTATTTAAGGTTCAAGCCCAAGGGGCTGTTTTATGGAGATTCCAGAATGAAGCTAAACGTTGTGGGCGTTTGAGGCGTCAGATGTCTGAATTTAGGTTTCAGGAGTTTAGCCTACAGGGTGCAGCTAGCCAAGTCGTAGGGGTTTCAGCCCAGGCACCAATTTCGAATCCCTGCAATTGGGGAACTTGGACCCTAAGGGAAACCTAGATTCCACTTCGAACTTTACGAGAAGACAAGGCAACATGTACAAGTTTGTCATAGGTTGAGTCGCCCATGAACAGCGCACTTGAAGCTTGCCTTACTTCGACGATCTGACCAACCAGGTTTTGTATCTATTGGATCAGAAAGCTTCTTCCTCTAGTGGTAGGAGTGGAGGTGGTAGCCGTCGTAGGAGTAGGAGTAGGAGTAG